GTTTTTTTTACAGAAATCAGAAGTAAAGGAGATGGAGAAAGGAGACCACTTAATTAAAGGATCATGGTTTTTTAACCAATTAATTCCTAGAATGACGGGATAAAGTGGAGATTTAATAATATCAAATGTAATGAATTCGAAATGTACGTTGTTGGTAATCATTCTTAGAGGGATTGTTTCATTTTTGATGGGTCCTGAGGATATAAATGAACCGTCAATAACTCTGATTGGAATAAAGTTGGTTTTTTGAACACAAGGAATTTTATTTTTTGAAACAAAAGAAAAATCAAGAAAAGTTCCATTAGCACCAGAATCAATGATGGCCTCAGTCACGATTCTTTTTGTATCCCACTGTAATGTGAGAGATATAGAAAAATAAGTAGATGTTTTTCTTTTTTGAAAAACGTTCAATATAGAGGTAGATGAATGAAGCTTACCACCTTTTGAATGTTTCAGTAGAGGACATTCGGAAATTAGATGTTCGTTCGAGGCACAATACATACATAAGTTTAGTTGTCTCCTTCTTATTCTTTCTTCAGAAGTAAGAGGACTTTTTATTATACCTACTTCCATAGGTTCAGTTTGTGGAGGAATTTTTTCAGGTAATTTTAGAGTAGTGAAAGGTTTTCTCCAGGTATAATTAGTAAGAACCCTTTCAGCTTTTCTTTCTCTTAGACGTCTATCAATACTGATGGACAGTTGAATCAATGCATTTAAGGTAGGAGGAAGTTCTGTACGAGAGAGTTCATCTTTCACAGCTTCAGATAATCCGAGACGGAATTGATTGCGTAAAGTAATGTCATTCCATTGGGTTTCTGTAGCCCATCTTTTGAATTCTGCAATATAATCTTCAACAGGTCTATTCTTTTGGTGTAATGTTCTGATGGTTAAATCAGCAGTAGTTTGTTTAAAAGGATCTTCATATAATAAAGACATAGCTTCAAAGAACTCATCCAATGAATCTAATATGGGATCATCATTTTCCAAAAAGGAATGGGCCCAGGCCATAGGTTCACCTCTTAAAAAAGATATCACTGAACAGACTTTGGATCTTTCGGTGGGATAAGATCTAGGTTTTAAAGCTATTAGTAGTTTGCAAGAATTCAAAAACTCTCTGTACTTTGTTCTATCTCCATAAAATTTTTCCGGATTACAGACAGCAGGATCACCAGTCGATTGAAGAGCGGCATGAGGAAGATGACCTTGAATGTCTCTAACATAGGTTAATATTCTCTCATTTGTAATTTGCAGTTCCTGTAACCCTTGAGCAATCGTATCCACTCTATTGGTTAGGGTAGAAACTTGAGAGTTGATATCTGCTGGTTCCATTGAATTAGGCTGGATTATTCTGTAATATCTATTTTATTATATTTCTTTACTTGGAACTCAACTGCAGCATTTCCTGGTTGCAACAACAATAAGTTTCACCTCCTTTTACATTGATATGAAACAATGGTCACTGTACCTTTAAATACCCATGAAGGTAAAATTAGGCTTTGTAGCAATCCCTTATGAATAAGAGGAATAATTAGACAAAGTGACACTTTAGTGAGTTTTAGATACTGTGTAATATAAATAATAGGAATTGACTTGTTTGGTAAAAGTATTACTTAACTTAAAGGCAGTTCTGGCACTGGAAGGGTTAATTCACCCACTGAAGGAGAAATTAGAAGTCCGTTTCAACAAGCTGAGAACTAGGAGTGGAGAGTGGGGAAGTCCGTTATAACAAGCCGAGGTCGATAAGTGGAGAAGGTAGAAATCCGTTTACTAGCCGAGGTTGAGAAGTGGAGAAGGTAGAAATCCGTTTACTAGCCGAGGTCGAGAAGTGGAGAAGGTAGAAATCCGTTTTACTAGCCGAGGTATAGAAGTGGAGCAGGTAGGATCAAAGTAGAGCAGCTGATCTTCATGCAACACCTGTGCGAATAATCCAGCCCTTTGAATCTGGCGCGGTCCTCCTAAGTACCGTGGAGGGACCGCGTCAGAAAAAAGGGCGGGGCTGAGCGCCGTGAACCCGGAAGTGGGTTCCGGCGATGAATTACATGCCATGCTATACATGACACTAGGTAGCATCTGGAAAACCATTACCTGCGGAAAGGACACACCTACGACCACTGGGTACTGGTATAACAGGAGTTACGACCAGGACTTCATTGGTGACTCCTTTTGTATACCAGCCTAGAACGGCAGAGCCATCTTCGACTCCACACCAGATTTCAAAATGGTGTCGGACACCAGCCTCTGGGCTAGGGGACTCAATGCACACATGCTTTCACACAGGGCCCATGGCCAGGGGAAGAGTCTACTTTTCTCATAAATTGCTTGGAACTGATAGCGGGATCCTTTGCAATCCGCAGCCTAACCAAGGACATGTCCGAATGATGTATCCTCCAAATTCGCATGGACAATATCTCAGCGGTTCAATACATTAACCACCTGGATGGAGCCCGATCCCGTGCATTGACAGAGGCATGAGGTACATTTACCGATTTTGCTGTCCCCGCAGCATCACTCTTCGAGCAGAGTTTCTTCCAGGGATCACTAATCTTACAACGGACTGTTTTTCTCGCCACTGATGGGACAGCAGAAATTGGCGACTGGACACTTCGGTATTTGCCATGCTAATGGTCAGAGGACTGTTCCACATAGATCTCTTCGTCTCACAGACGAACACAGAAACTAAGAGGTACTACAGCTGGCTTTAGGACCCACAATGCAAAGCAGTGGATACATTTCTCCAACCTTGCGTTCCCACTTTCTAGAGGTTGGCTAGAATCCTTCATTGTCTTCACATCACAGGGATCACCATGATAATCCCCACGCCACATGGCAGAGTCAGCGTGGTATTCTGACTTACTGGCTCTCTCTCAAGACCATCCGCTGCTTCTTCCATAGTCTCCCCTCCTCCTAATGAACTCACAAGGAGAACCTCATCCGCTTATCTTCCAGGACAGCGTGGAGCTGGTGGCCTGTAGTCTTTCAGGAGATCTTGGTCAGTCGAGGACCTATTGCAATTGACTAGAGACCTCTAATGGGGCTCATGGGCTCAAGGAACTAGACATAGCTACTTCTCCGCATGGAACATTTGGGGTGGCGAGTGTTTGCAGAGAAACTACAAATATTATAGTTTTACATTTTCATCACACTTTTTTGTCGGGTCATTCATACCGTTCCATCAATGTGATACGATCGGATATCTCAGTGGCTCACTCTACACTTCAGAGCACACTGGTTAGTCAGGACCCCTTGTTATATCGCTTATTACATGGTATCAAACTATTCAGACCCCTAGTCCCGCAATACACTCGGTATGGGATGTAGATGGATGTAGTTCTCCGCTTCATACGGGATTGGCTGGATGATTCGGATCTTTTGCTTCGACAATTCTCGGTGAAGCTCACACTACTTTTGTCTTGTTTATTTCCATCGGGTTTCGGACTTTAAAGCGTTTTTTTATGCGAATGGTTTCTCGATATCTCAAGAAGGCATTTCGTTCACAGTATCACGGTGGACCAAGATGGATCCTATATCCATTTTTTCCAGAGGCTCCCTGTCTCTGTGTGGTGAACACTTTATTACGTTATGTAGAGGTTACTGCATCTCTTTGGTCTTCACAGTCAGGCCAACTTCTTATTCTATTTCCGTCAGACTTCACATGCATCCTTTGCTTTTCAAGCACAGCGTTGAAAATGCAAAATATGAAGCCTCCTGTCATATTGTAAAATGGTAAATTATGCTAACGTAGTGTACCTATAATCTTAATTTTAATAATGACAGACTTCAGACCATTCTCCCTAGCCTTCCTCACTCTCTGGCGAGAGGTAATGATGTCAAGCAAAGAGGAGCAGGCTGCAGAAAGAGCTTTAGTGTTTATTTATTTTAATTTTGCGGGCAGACCACCTTAGTAAGGGTTACACTAACCAAAATTTCTGTAACTACGTATTCCACAATGATTCCCAGAACGCAAAGGAGACATTCCAGATCCACACAGTATGTTTAATATTTAATCTGCATCTAAATGGGGAAATCTAAAGGCAATGTAATTAGTGAGTGCAGCACTTCATGGTCATATGGAATTGAGCACAAGACATAGATGTCCCCTGTTCAGTCATGTTTGCTTTCAAGGAAATGTGATAGCCTTCTGTAGTGTAAGTGTAGCACGACATGTTTACGTATAAATGTGAATCAACCATATCTTCTTGTTATATTGAGAATGCAAATAGAGAATGTTTAGTGTATGACTATACTTAAGTCATTGCTTCCCTTAAGCATTCAGCTTTTGTAAATGTTCCTACTTAAAGGGGCACTCCAGGCACCAAAACAATTTCATCTAAATTAGGTTGTTATGGTGCCAGGAGGCCCCCAGACGCCCTCTTGCCTTAAGGGGTTAAACCGTTCAAACTGAGCCCCCAGAACCCATTTCAGCTCCCCCAGACTGCATCCACTCTCAGCCAGTCAGTAACTCCCTATTACAAAACTAGCTTGAAAAGAAACATATCTTTTCCAAGTCAGCTGACCGCTCTCAGTCAGAGTGTGCCTATGAGGCCCCCTGGCACCAAAAAAATTTCATATACATGAACTTGTTATGGTGCCTAAATGAAATAGCATCACCCAGAACCAGTTAAAGATGGCAAAGTACCTTAGTCAGTTTGCCAAATTAAGGCATCCCCCTAGAACCTGGACTCTGTTCTGTTAGAATTGTATGTGTGTGTTTTTGGTGGCTGATTCTTAAATGTGAGTGGGAAAAAAAGTAGTGTGTGTGTATAGAGAATAGAGAATGTATGTGCGGGGCAGGCTGAATTTTGTGTATGGAGTGGAGAATGGGTGCGGTTGAGTGTATGTGTGTATAGTGTCTGCATGTATTGGGAAAGGTAAGTTTTTCTTTTGCCCCCCCCCCCCCATCTGCTTACCTTTTATCAGAAGGGTGTGTTATCTCTGGTGGCCATTGTGTGATCCAGTGGGGGAGCGTTATGGTAGGCACCTCGAATAGCTCCCTAGTGGTTCCGGATTCATTCAATGACTGAGTCATTAAGAAGTGCTGAAACCACAAGGGATAGAAGTTCAGAGGTAGTGAAGGGGCACAAGGCAAGGCAGTACGATTCCTGCTGGCTCAAGGAGGGCCCAATGTCTAAATCGAAGCCCTAGGTTGTGCCCTATGCCGCCTTATGGATTATCTGTCTCTGGTATTACCTAAATTGTGGTACATGATTTCTCGTTTATCATTGTCCCTATTTAAAGTGTACATTGGGGGCTAGTGCGCGTGCATACCAAAATAACAAGCTGCACAATTTAGATGGTGTCTTTGGGCTCATCTGTTGAAACTGGCACTTTTTTAAACTGTCAAAACATGACAAACACCAGACATAAAGCACTCCAGCAAGCTGAAATACTTTACATTGCACGTCAAGCTTTTCCTTTAAGGCTAGCAAAGCATCATGAAAGTTGCAGTACTACTGCAGCTGTTATACTATTTTGATAAATTGGGTCACCTGGTTAAAATAATCAGATATATGAATCTATGCAAGGTCATCTATTAGGATTCTTCCCAGATATACATACTTGTCCTGTGTTAAACATAGGTTACTGTAGGAAACGATGAGGTGGGTGTGATGCGCATGCTGAAACAAGTGAGAGGAAAAATTCTCAAATACAAACAGGATTGCTCATTTGTTCTCACCATGTTAGGTGAGAGACAGGTCATCCGCATTCTAAACTAAGAACACACGCTGTAGCTCATATTGCATGCACACTGACAGATCAACAGGCAGTAATGTAAACAGCAGGCTCACATCATCCCATATCAACACGACACAGTGTACACTATCAATTGACAGCTCACATATTCTTCAAGCCCCTATGCATACAATAGATAAAAAAAAAAAAATGTAAAAACTGATTACTGTATGAACTGCAAATTTGAGTATTTTGTATAAACGTTGCAAATCTGAGTATTTTTGTATAAACGTTGCCATTTGAAGTTTAGCGTATAACCCTGTAGATATAGTTCTTTGAATTTTTCCTCCTCTAGATTGTAAACTTGTTCGAAGAGATTATTAACCTCTTGTTCCTGTTAGCATTTGTAATAATTTGTCTCATTGGCTTTTAAAGGGACACTAGTCCCTTAATGTAGTTGTTCTGGTGAGTATAAACATTGCCTTCAGGCATTTTAATGCAAACACTGCCTTTTCCGAGAATGGGGACGCTGAGTTTTCCTCATAGAGATGCATTGATTCAATGTATCTCTATGAGAAGGTGCTGATTGGCCAAAACGGTGTTTGGCCCCGCCACCATCCCGTCTCCTTGACGATTTTAGCCAATCCAATGCTTTCCCTGTGAAAAAGCATTGGATTGGCTAAAAATCTGCAATTCTGATTATGTCACCAAGGAGGCATATCGGGGACGGGCGGACCCATGTGGCTCTGGAAATAAAATGAGTTTGTAATTCCTTTTTAAGAGGCTAAGTGGGGGCAAGCCACCTAAATGGTGGTTTTAACACTATAGGGTCAGGAATACATGTTTGTGTTCCTGACCCTATAGTGTTCCTTTAACTGTGATCTTTCAGAATGTCAGTGGATAACTCCCTAATTTGATATCCTTGGAATTGTCGTAGTTAAAGGAACACTATAGTGCCAGGAAAACAAACTAGTTTTCCTGGCACTATAGGGTTATTAGGTCCCCCCTTCCCTCAGGGCCCCCCTCCCGCTCAGCCACCTATCTTAATCCAGCGCCGGGCTCCCTCGGCGCTGGTGACTTCTCCCCCCCTTGCCGACGTCAGCTCCGAATGCGCATGCGCGGCATTCAAACCGACCCATAGGAAAGCATTACTCCAGTGTCCAGTGTCATCTCAGAATCCTAATAGATGACCTTGCATAGATTCATATTACTCAATGCTTTCCTATGGACGTCCAGTGTCATCTCGGTGTGATTTTTCACACTGAGAATCGCGGAAGTGGCCTCTAGCGGCTGTCAGTGAGACAGCCACTAGAGGCTGGATTTACACACAATGTAAACATAGCAGTTTCTCTGAAACTGCTATGTTTACAGCTGCAGGGTTAAAACTAGAGGGACCTGGCAGCCAGACCACTTCATTGAGCTGAAGTGGTCTGGGGGCCTATAGTGATCCTTTAAGGTCACCGAATTATTTATTTATAAAATATTTTTCCAGGAAGGATACATTGAGATTTCTCTTGTTTTTAAGTATGTCCTGGGTTTTTCAAGTTTGTCCTGGGAATTAGAGAGCTAAGATTATTAAACACACACACACTTTCATGCATACTAAATTCCTTTATAATCTGCAGGGACCTAGAAGTGAATTAGTTTTCTTAAATGGTTATTCATTAAAATTGAAACTGATTAAAAAAAAATTAAATTTTTTTTTTAAATTCAATCTAATTTCACTTTTAAGTCCTGACAATTTACACTTCAATGAAGAACCATAAAACAGATAGGTTTAGTCAATAAACTCGAAATTGTAGCAAACTAAAGCCCAAATGGCAAAACGAGACTAAAATGGCTAATCTAGAGAATTTTTCCAGATTAGATTTGCCAAAAATGTTGCAATTCTGATTTATATTAACTACAATTCGAAGTTCAGTTTTTAACTCTTCTGCATGTGTGGGGAAAAATAGAAAAAGTTGTCAGTGTGTGTGTGTGTGTGTGTTAGTGTGTGTGTGTTTAGTGTGTGTGTGTGTGTGTGTGTGTGTGTGTGTGTGTGTGTGTGTGTGTGTGTGTGTGTGTGTGTGTGTGTGTGTGTGTGTGTGTGTGTGTGTGTGTCAAGCCACCTAGATGGTGGTTTTAACACTATAGGGTCAGGAATACATGTTTGTGTATTAACAAAAAGTACTTTTTTTGATATTAAAAAGTAGCAACTTTGGAGTGGTTAAAATGACAAAATGCATGTTGACAGATACAACTATTTAATCATATTGAGATTGATGCAGTGGTTATGGTGCTTGGAGTGTTCCTTTAATGAGCATGATGTGGGACAGGTAAAAGGGAACAAAAGTCTCAAGTTGTGCTTGTAGTATGAGTGAAAGTGAAAATCGGGAATGTGCGGCCAGAATCGGGACAGTTGGAAGGCATGCAATTATGAATTTTTGGGTTTTTTGGCCTGCGATGTTCAGTTATTAATTACTTTATGCTGACTTTACCTGCCTTATCTTGGGGTTGAGGGAATGAATTAGTTCTTCTTTGATCATGGATTGGAGGGGAGATAGCGTATTCACTGCTAGTTACATCAGATACAAGGGACTCATCCGGCACTACAGGCCTTTGCAGGGTTATTTTCTCAAGTGAGAATAAAAAATATATATTTGGTGGTGGTAGATGGTGGTTTTATCACTTAAGGGTCAGGAATACAGGTTTGTGTTCCTGATCCTATAGTGTTCCTTTAAACCTGAAAATAAACTTGTTAACTTAATCCTATGTTTAATTTATCTTAAAAACTAAACACCTCATAGTAATTTATGCAGCTCTAACCCTAAACAGGCTTTATACCACAACTTTAACCCCTTCTAAGATGTTAATATTAACTCTAAACACCCTATGTAATTGAACATTTTCATGAACCCCTCTCTAATCTTAAACCCCACTTTACCATAACTACTTCTAACATTATCTTTAACCTTGCATTCATTTATACAGCTGCACACACACAAACAGATACAAACACAATACATTAGAAGCAGAGCAGAAATATGCACATACATAGATTTATACATATGCAGTTGTCAAATACAGACCTCCCAACTTTAGCATCCTGAGAAATGGTACTCCGGTGGGAGGAGGGTAAACGCTGCGCCTAGAACTGCGATCGTGTCACCAGCTCTGCCCCAAATGAGCAGATCCATCTGAAAAGGAGTGTGTCCACCCAAGCTAATTGCATAATATAAATACACATCAGACTGCCTGTCAATAATTTAGCCAGCCCAATGATGGCTGACCCTGCACAGAGTACTGTTTCAGTGCTCCCTGCAGGGTCATAGTACCTAAACAAAGGGCTTGTGTGCGTCTAATGATGCGTTTGCACTCTGATTGTTGGGAACAGACAGTTCTTTGGTGTACCCAAAAGCGGGAGATCAGGGGACTGACCCACGAAAATCGGGACATTTGGGAGGTATGCAAATATGAATATTTTTGTAGGCCTATAATATCCCGTTAATAATGTCTTTATACTTACTTTATCTGCCTTATTTTGGGGTTGGGCAGTGCCTTAGAATAATGTGCCTACAGGGAAAAGACATGTATATCTGTCCCTAGCCGGTCCCACTCATCCCTTTTCAATATTCTCTCCTGGCTGCACTCTGCTTATTATTTCTAAAAGTGCTGTACAATAAAACATCAACATACAGTGAAATATTGCTTGAAATGGCTAGTAATGAGAACCCTGCGTGTGAGCTGGTACAGTAAGATCTTCAAATACAGTGTACCAGCTGTGATCCCACTAGTAGCTGCAAAATAATTAATTCTCCTGTTTCTCTTGTGGTCCTTCATTTTTTATGAACCTAGCAATGCCCCTCCTGCTGGGTAATAGGGATTCAGTGTGTACTTTTTGCTTGTTTGTTTTGACGTGTTTCATATTATTATTATTTTTAATTTAAGGGCTTGGTATTTTTAGAATTTTAAATATATATAATTTATTTTTTATTTTTTTATATAACCCTTCATAGACTAACATTTCCTTCATTTATCTCTTAAATGGGTAGTCTAGGCACCATCACCACTACATCTCAATGTTACATAGCTGAAAAGAGACTTGCGTCCATCAAGTTCAGCCTTCCTCACGTATGTGTTTGCAGTTGATCCAAAAGAAGGCAAAAAACCTAGTCTGAAGCGCTTCCAATTTTGCCACAAACTAGGAAAAAAATTCCTTCTTGACCCCAAAATAGCAGTCAGATGTCTCCTTGGATCAAGCAGCTATTACCCTACTAATAAGAAATTATATCCCTGTATGTTATGTTTTTGCAAGTATTTATCCAATTGCAGTTTAAACATTTGTTTGGACTCGGATAAAACCATCTCTTCAGGCAGAGAATTCCATATCCTTATTGCTCTTACTTTAAAAAAACCTTTTCTTTGCCTTAGATTAAATCTCCTTTCTTCCAGCCTAAATGTGTGACCTCGTGTCCTATGCATAGCACTGTTTATGAATAGATTTCCAGATAAAGGTTTGTACTGGCCCTGAATATATTTGTATAATGTTATCATATCCCCTGTGAGGCGCTGTTTT